CCCTAAAGCCTATATATGTAAGTTGCATTCCTTTTCCACTCATGCTGGATGCCAAATCAGTGCCATTTCATAGTTTCTCCACTTAACTTGAAGTTCACACCTGCTGTAATTTGCATCATTGCTTATGGCACCCATGGATATGGGATCACCTTCAGTTTAACTCTTTCTGATATGTAGATACCAGTGATGCACTCATGATACGCACAAGGGATCTGACCCATGTTCCCATCTTCTTTCTACGCAAGAGCAGGAGTCAGTTTCTAGCTGTGTCACAAAATGTAGGCCTTTCTTGCTGGACATGGGAATTCCAATAAGATACTATTGATTTGTATATTTCTGTAACTTATAGGCATCCTCTGAGGGTGTATTGTATATAACGGCATGTACACTACAGTCCAGGGGTTATCATGGATAATTAGGAGCACATTCTTGGGGTTTGTGTTCTATGTTGGAAAGTGTGCAAAACTTGCCAGTGCACAGTTGAAAGCTGTCAGCCAGCCAACTCCTGTAACATACAGAAATCAGATTGCATGGGTAAGGACTGGGCAATTGTGCCAGTGGCTTTCCATCCCCTAAGGCTGTCTCAAGTGGCTCAGTGAGGGACCTGCAGGAAAGGGATCTGGGTCTATCAGGTGGTACTTGTCATAAAGGATATTGCCAAGCAGCAACTAAGTACAGTAAAGTTTGCCAGTTCATGGTGTAAAGGTACAGTCTGGCCTGTGTGTTGGCTCCCCGGTCACTTTGTAGAGTGAGGGTTGGCTTTATGGTGGTACAGGATCCATATTGCTAAGCCAGGTAGGGTGAGATGGGCTTCAGTAAAGGGCTTTGACTTAGAGGTGGAGCTTATGGCACAGTCAGAGTCGATGCTGAAACCTCTGCAAATACCTTTTTTTGCTTGTATTTAATTTTTTTTTAAAAAGCTATATTATACTCTTAATGCTCTTCTGACCGACATACTTTCTTTAGCCATATCTTAGCTGCCTTTGTTGTTTACTAGCTTCTTCAGCTTTTACTGCAAAGGAATAGCTGCATCTTTTCTCTGTAACTTTCATAACTCAAAACGGCAGTTGTGTAACTATTGAATTCTGCAGTTTAAGAGCAGGGCTCCAAAAGCTACAGCCTCTGACACTGAGTTGTAATTCTGACTGGCAGAACTCACAACTTCCTTGGGGCAAATGTGGCTCTCACAGATACTTGGCATTCACAAATACAGGTGCAACTTGGGCCTTCCAAGGACCCTTAGATGTGACTCAAGGCTTTAGCAGCTCTCAGTTCCACTCATGTGGAAATATATTTGAGCTTCCCAGAAATTATAAGCTCTGTACTCCATTACCCGGGAGTTCAATCCAAGGCTCAGTGATATCAATAGGAATCTTCCAGATGTGCAAGATTGGACCCTGCACCTGTAACCATGGAAAAGACTTCATTTTAGATATCACCGGTTCAGCTGGAAGAGTACTCTTGGGGTCAACACTTTCTGGTGGAGCTCAGTTTTTAAATTACTTAGGAAAGTTGTCCAGAGCCCCTATAGGAGGCTTGCAGAATCTTGCTTGTAGACTGGCTTCATGCCCCTCATCTCACCTCCAGGGCCCAAAGGAATGTTGCCTCAGGAAAATACAAGGTTTCCTATGATATGTGGTTCACTTAAACGGTATTTTCGGTCTTAGTGTATGCTTTCTCAAAGCCTCTGACAGCAGTATTTCCTCTAATAAAAGGAGCAGCCTTCTTGCTGATGCACTGCTGCTGCTTTCCACCACTCCACGATGCACTGCCCAGCCAGAAGCATTCCCAGCAATGAAGCATGTTTGTCACTGTGGTCTAGAAATCCTAAGTTATGAGACTTTATTACAAATACTAGCAAATTGCCCATCAAGAATGACAGGGGGGGGCGGGGGCAGGTGAGTGGGGACGGAGCCTTGCATCCGGCCCCGTGCCCCTGCTCCCTACTGCTCTGGGTCTGGCTCCGCTCAACTCCCCCTCCACCCCTTTGCTCCAGGTCCGGCCCTACTCTGCCCTGCCCCGCCGCCGCTCCAGGTCCGGCCCCTCTCTACCCCCACCCCTCATTGCCTCTCTGGGTGCAGCGCTGCTCAACTCCCCCCTCATTGCTGCTCTGGGTCTGGCCCTTGCCTCCCCCTCCCTACCAACTGTTCTGGGGGGCATTGGGGCCGGGCAGTGTGGGGGCGCCCCCACCATGATCCCTCAGCTGGGAGGAAACCCCACTGCTTGAGTGGCTGGGGCGTATTCGCCACCACAAACTTCCCCAGCAGCAATACAAACTTGGGCCTGTGTAGCCCAGGCCCATGCAGTCAATCACTGTCCGCCCTCTTGGTGGTGCATACACAGCTGCCCAAAAGCATTATGGATGGACAGACACACAGACAGACAGACTAAGCTTTTTATTATATTAGATTTTTTCTTGGATTCTATGACATTCCTTTTTCAAGAGCCCTCGCCACTGTGGGGGGCTGTTGTTCATGAGGTCTCACTAATTCCCTGTGTGGAGGGGTAAACCTACTCTCCCAGGGTATGGGAAGATTCTGCTACTGGAGAGAAAGCACCACAGCATCATTTCCTGTTGCCTTTAGAGATGAGGCTTGATGATGGAAGGGAAAGCCCAGACACTTGGTGTGTCTCCTAGGCATGGAAGCAGGATACAGCTGCTTTTCAGGGCTTTCCCTATATAGAAAAAAGGTGCTTGGTTTACTCTTGGTTACTCTTGTTCTTCAGTAGTTGGGACTGTATATAGATTACCTCCCTGCCAGGGGAGCACCTAAATCTCTTCCCTTGCTGCCATATTTTCTCCTTTCAGATGAAGAGGAGGAACTGAATGAGGACACAGTAGAGAAGATTGTGAGATGCATCATTCAGAATGAAGGTGGGTATTTCATTGGGCCTGCCTCTGGGGGGTATTCTTGAGCACTGGACTGTTCTGGTTGGATATATTTTCTGTTTCTTCTCATTGCCAGCAAATGTGGAAGCCCTGAAGGAAATGCTGGGGGACAGTGAAGGGGATGTCCACGTGCCAGTGCCCAGGTGAGGGGGATCATCCACCATTCCTCAGCTTTTGCAGCGGTGAAGGGATCAGCAGTGCCATGGGTAGCATTCCAATCCCGAGACTATCTGAGTGCACTTAGGCCCCTAATCCAATCCCACTTGGTCTCAACAGATACTTGGAAAGCTTAGGTGGACAAGGTGAAGCAGGGGTCTTATGGCTCACCTGTGAAGAAGCTGAGACCCCAAGTTCATGGGGACCTCAATTTTCTGTCACTGTGTGACCACTCTCCTTCTGTCAGGATGGAACATCCTTTTCTTGCCTTCTGCCCTGTGAGCAATTCTGCTCTAATTCCATTAATTTCCTCAAGAACTCTTTCTTCTCTGAGTACAGACTTGAAAGTGGGCCAACATGATGGCTGGCCTCCCCCATTTATAAGGAACTAATTGTCTCTGTTTCCTCTCCTACAGCAGTCTTTGTCCTCATCGTAATAGCCAGGATGGGGGCCCGCCACATCACCACACAGTGCACCTGGGCTCCACACAGGCCCCGTGCATTCACTGCAGCAAGAAGAAGAGGCACGCTCTGCATCGCCAGGGCAGATCCAAGGAGAGCAAAGCCAGGATGCATCCTGGGGAGACAACTGTCTTCTCAGTCGGCAGGTATTTAGCAGATCCCTACCAAAGCATTTCCTGTTGGCCTTGCATTTGTTGTAGAAGGGAGTGGCCTCTCTACTGGAGCCATTTTTGATCTCAAGGTCCCTGCACCTTTCCTCCTCTCCTCCCTGCTTTTCCTTGCCCCAAGGAGCTCTCTAGTTCCTCCTTACTGTTACTCCAGCAATACTAATGCTAGGAGACAAACAACTACTATGCCAAAATCTTTTTTTTTTACTTTATTAATTAATCCAACTTAACAAATAACAAATTTAACATTTCAAGTATATCCAATCCCCTAAAATATACATAAAGACAGATATTTATTTTCTACCAACTGTGCTCAAGATGACCCTAGTCAATGTACGCAGGACTCTTGTGTTCTTTTCTTCTCTTCCTTTTAGCCTCTATCAGTTCCTTTACACTTCAGTCAATGTTAAGCTTTTGTGTTTCTTCATCTGTGTATAATAATTCACCCTCCTTCTTTTTTCTCAGAACTCTGCATAATACAAATCTTACTATCTTCTGCTTATCTCTGCTTTAAAATTTTAAATGTATTCTTAAGTGTTAGCTCATAAAACATGCACTTTTCTTCAATATTCAAAAAGTTTCTCAAATTTTATCTTTTGGAGACAGGAGAAGTTTCTTTTTTTAGCGAGTTCCAAAAATTTCCACCAAATTTCTAAGTAAGCATCTTTTTCCCCAAATTTTCATTGTTGTTTTTGTAAAATAGTGATTATATATTGAATTGGACCTAAAAGATTTCTTTAGCCATAGTAATACATTAAGTTTGACTGTTGGGCAGAATGTTTGCTTTATTTTTACCCAGTGCAATTTTATATGACCACAAAATTTCATAATTTGACCAATTTTCTAAATCTATTTTGAGTCTTTCAATCAGAGGAATATAACTGGAACTATACAAGTCTTGCTGTTTTTTTAGTAACATTCATCCTGAATTTCTTTAATAAAGTAGTTATCCATTGATATTTATAGCTATCTTTTATCTCTTTGTGCATCTGGTTCTGACTTTTCATATTAATTTAAATTCTGAAACATTGTCATACCTTGTTATTTATTTCCTTTTGTAGTTCAGACAGTGTACCCCCATATCTAACTGACTCCTGTCCCTTGAATTGTCTATGGCTACACATTACTACACCTTGTTCGCTGAAGAAATGCTGGCATCAGATTGGGCACCATTGGTGTCTTAATTATTGACCTCTGGGCAGTTTTATCACCCTCATTTGACAGATAATGAAACACAGAGTATGGGTGACTGGTGCCTCTTGAGTCAGGGAGGGCACTTGCCCCCCCCCTCCCCCGGCCAGTCAGCAACCAGATGGGGGAAGGGAGGGGTCCCCTGCAGCCAATCACACTGGCACTTCCAGGTTGGCACAACTGGCCATGGGGGAATCCCCCCACCTCCACCCCCCAGGATTGGCTGCAGGGAGACCACAGGGATCACTTTTCCTGGCGCCCCCACTCCCAGGCTGGTGCTCTCGGGGTGGGGGTGGGGGAGCACCAGCACTCTCACCTGCCCCCCCTGCTTGACACTGAACCAAGGAATGCTGGCTGTCAGTGCACCAGTGCACCCTCTGCGCGTCACCACTGACACAGAGGATGATGACTTGCACAAGTCCCACTGGATCAGAACAAACAAGATGGCTCAGGTCTCTTGGCTCCCGGTCAAATTTTCCAGCCCCAAATTGCCTACATTACACAGAGCAAACACTTCCTTTTCCAGCTCTTTGCCTTCTAGACAAAGCAAAGAAGATGCTGATTCCTATCCTAGAGAAAAAGCAGGCAGTTCCCACCTATTTTCTCGATCTGTCCTGTTGACTGAGAGCAGCATGCTCTTGTGAGTGGGATTACCAGGGTATGTTCAGTGTACATCCTTAGAAGAACCCACTGTGACAACAGTGCATGAGTAGGGCTTTTGTTGACAGGTAGGGCCAGTAGTCCCAGATCAGTTGTTGGTATCAGTACCTCCTACAAATGTCAGAGGTGGAGCATT